GACTAGTTTGGAAGCATATAACAAGACTAAAACAATTTTAAAACTACCAGGAAAAAAATAACAAGAATAAAAAGTATATTTCTAATCTAGTTGACTTCCATATCTCAAGTTAACTTCTTTTTAGCTTTTACATGAATATTTTTAAATCATGTATTTAACTCCCACCAGCCACCGTGAAAGAAGAAATAGCAAGGAAATTAAGAATAGTAAACCATGCATGAAAAAAGACCAATGTCTTGACTCGGTTTTTATAGAAAAGTATATTTCTTATTAAAAAAGAACACCTGTTCACCAGACAGAGGATCAGGATCGTTCTCGACAACCAATGGCTCTTGCTCTGATGGCTCCAACAGTTGAACAACCTACATGTCAAGAAAGGTGAAATTTAAAATCCATAAGAAAGTGAATGCATACACAAGGAGCAAGCGTTATATGCAAACATAAATTATTATTTAAAAATTTCACTTGAAGCACAATGCAAGTAAAATATGCACCGTAATACCTATGAGAGAAGGAAATTCCATCCCCCTATTAATACATTTCTCAAACTGAACAGTTAATGAAGAAACTAATCTATAAGAATAGCTTTTCAGTAGAAAATATATAATTACCTCCACATCGTGAGTATCCATAGCATCTTGTTCCGTTCTTGGATTCAATGGAACTGGATCCTTGAGAACTTCAATTCTGCAAAGCTGGAAATCTCCTGCTCCAGCAACATGAACCTGATAAAAAGAAAGGCACATATGAACAACAAATCAACCTACCTGAATCAAGAAAAATGGCAAAGCAGAGGACTCTACCAGCTGATTCACAGAAAGACTCCTAGCACGTAGATAACCAGTGAGAAGAAGGGTACATTTTCCTGAAGTACAATTATCAGCTACCATATCAACCTACAGTAGTGCCAGAGAATTAGCAAAATAATAAATAACAAGCAGATGTTCCTCATAGGGTAAAAAGGAAAACAGTGATCAAAGCTATGAATGTATTAAAATACACATATTTAAAGACCTTTTGAGACATCAAATAAGGCCTTTGATTTCTCCAATGAGGAACAGTGAGTCTTTGCTCCTTAAAAAGCCACATAAACTGCAAATACAAATACAAATCATTAAAATAACTGAATAAGCATAAAAAGGTGTGTAAATGAGTAACCTACACGAACAACTGAAACTTATTTACCTTGTGTAACTCATCTTTAGTATCTGCAGGATAAAACTTACAATCCTCCGGAAATTCAGAAGTAATGCTAGAAATACACATTTTTTTATAATCGTTTCGTTTCTTTATATCAGTGGGTAGGTCCTGCCAGAAAAGAAAAAAAAAAGCTTTGACTGTACGAGCAAAGAATTCTTCTCCTTTTAGATTAGAAGTCTCAAAAAAGGAACATACTCGAATAAACACTGCAGTACTTGGTAAACCCAGAGATCTTAATAGGGAAAGGCATTCACTTCCAAATGAATCAATGTAGAGAGATGTGCTTCCTTCAATATAGTAGCTCGCAGAGGTCACAAAAGCAATTAGGTCGGCTACCTACAAATTAATGGGTACATGGCCAATTAATAAACTAAAGATCAAAACTTAAAACTTGATGAGTGAAGAAATAACAAAAGATACAATTTCAGGAGAAGTTAGAACCTTAGCCATCTCCATACACGATTGCAAATCACCATAGGGTGCTTTCAGTACCTGAAGCATAAAAATTTGACCCAATGAAAGCAAGCATAAGGATTGGTACAGAAAAAGATTATTAGGGGCTCTGGACCATTCAATAAATGGAAAAGGGTAGTATTGTGGAAAAAAAAAAAAACTTACCTTTGCTCGCATTGACCCAACAACATTATTAAAAATAATTTATTAGAAAATATCACTAAAACCATGAAGAATCACATAGATACAACTTACTGTTGCCCGTAGCTTGTACTCCGAAGAAGCAACTGTAGATGACGAAGATCCAGAAGCTAACAGAGACAAAAGATCCTCAGCAAGTGGATTCAGGTCTACTGAGGCGGAGAGACCAAACAGAACCTGTGGTCATTGTGATCAGTGCTATTAACAAATAGAATAAGAAAAATGTCTGAAAACAGAAAATGATTTAAATAAGAAAGAAAGCTAAATGTAAAATGCTATCGATAATCTAACTACTCACTATAACTCTAGGAGGATTTTTTGATCCACTCGATGCTCTTTTGTCCTGTAAAACAGCTGCCCTTTTCTGCTCTCGAATCTGCAACAAGCAAACTCGGTAATTAAAATAAAGAAGCACCACCAACAATGAGACAAGCTTAATATGCCCAAGGAAAAGTAAGAATAAGAAGAAAAAGATTGGACATCAAGTACCATTTTATTACGCTGAAGACGAGCAGCCCTAGCTCCCTTAGCAACATTATTCGTTGTAACTTTGCTTCTATCTGATGGCCCAAAACTCAAATTAGAAACCAATAGCTACATAAACCAAATATTAACTAGAAAAGAAACACGAAAACAGGTTTCCACGAATCAAAAGGAAAGAATATATGCACCTTTTAAAGAGGTTTTGTGTTGTTGTCGCGTTGCCTTGGATGAGAAGCGTGATTTATGGGGTTTATTGACTTGAGCTCGACTCCCTCCCATGGCACTGTAAAAATTGTAAGCATAGCATGCTAATAAATTCTAGATGCCAATAAGGTTCTCAACTCTAACAGCTCAAAGAAATTAAAAACATCGGAAGCGTAAACTACAGTGAAATTCTGCTCAGGAGCCAATGAATCGATAAGACTGCCCTGCTAGCTTCCATCTCACGAATTTAAGTAAACTTATAATCCAGGCGGCATAAATAGGGCAAATTAAGTAGTACCCTTATAACCCATAAGAAGGGTGTGTCTGCTTCTAATAATTAACTAATTTTGACTATCTTTTTTAATAAGAGGCAGTGTACAGATGAGGCAGAGTTTAACGTTCTCTTCTTCTGTTCTTTCTCTCGTTAGGTAATTGAGATTTTGGGTGCTGGATGATGGACCTAGTAATCACTGTCAAGACTATGTGTAGAGGTGGCTACGAGGAAGCCGTAAACCTTTTTATTTTACTGTTTTAAACTTCTGAATTCATCACAAACAATATACACTGCTCTTGTTTCCAGTTATTAGAAGTACCATACTGATTGGTCAATCATAGTGGGAGGGAAAGAAGCTCAATCTCTACAAAAGGCTCATATTCTTCTTGCCTACCATAGATTTAATCTAAAATCACATAGAAACCAGCTAAAATCTACAAATATAGAGAATGCCTAAGGTTCCTCTGTGAATCAAAACAATTCCTCCTTCCCATACCTGTCCTAATTTGAGTTGTTCAAGAGCGTAGAAATACGTAAATGGAGATTGGAAAAATACCAGTAACAAGAGAGTAGAAAATCAGTGCAACCAGTTGAGAGGGAAGCGGCAGTGAGCTTCTCGAAGGTAGAAGGAGCCGGCGCGAAGAAGTTGGTGCCGGCGGGAGAGCGAGGGGAAGGTGAAAAGAATGGCAGTTAGGTTTCCCCTTTGTTTTATTTTTATTTTTATTTTTATTATTATTTTATTTCATACAAGTGGGCCGAGTTTTGGGCTACTATGGAGGTTGGGCTGATTTTTTTTCCTTTCCTTTTCCAATTTTGAAATTTTGGTTCGGCTTTCTCCGTCTTGTTTAAACCGGAAAGCGAACCGATTGTTACGATTTTAAAGTATTGAGAACCGAACCGAATGGTCTTTTTATTCAAATTTGAAGTTCCATGTACTATTTTCGTAATCAGCTACTATTTAATGCAACCCTCGAGTTGCATGTTTACGATACAGTTTTATATAAGCTAATTGTATACGATATTTTCACGTATATGTCTCCATATAAATGATTATATGGATTTGGATCAAATCATTTGTAACAACATGAGTCATATCAAAAGTGTTTTTAAGACAAGACACCTAACATTATCTTGTAGACCTTTTCATTTGTTGAATACTATCCTCCCCACGTCAATTATATACTTTCCATACAGTTGGTAATGTTGAATAACAACTAAAATAAATAAAATTATTAATTACAATATTTTATAATACAAATCTCGATACAGATTACTCAATAGTAACTACTGTTGAATGATGAAAGTCACACGTCGACTAATTTAGAGAATGATCATGAATTTATAATTCAAGAATACTAACTCTATTGGTTTGAGACATCTTGAGAAATCAAAAGCAAAATCATGAGAGCTTATGCTCAAAGTGGACAAATATCATACCATTGATGAGAGTCGTGTCCATCTAACAACTACTATCGTCTTCAAATTGGTAAGTGGAAGGAACCAACGAAAATCTCCAATTACACGAAGAAAAAAAACATACACAATTTGATTTGACACTTTTATATTAAAAGTTCTACATAATAAAAATGTTATTTTCAAATATACCCCTTACCACTTAATCTATGGTTGGGTATATTATTCAAAATAACATATATTATTTTTTTAATTCAATAATTGGGAGACATTGTGCCCTCGTCATTTAAAATATATATATATATATATATATATATATATTTTAATCATCATAATTATTTTTGAAAAACTATGATAAAATTACTATTTTACCATTTAAAGAGCTAACAAAGATATGTATTTATAAAAAATAAAAAAAAAGGAAAATCTATAATTCGAAGTTATCGCATTGGTAAGGAAACCTGTTAGAAACGGGGACCACATACTTCTTTTATCCATCATAAATATAGCTTTATTCCAATATTTAATTACGAGAAATTGATATATTTGTTTCATTAAAAAAAATAACGAAAAGGATAAGTCTTAAAGGAAAATACCAATCACAATAAAACAACGTTGACCAGTCAAAGGAACATTAAAAGCCCCTTTTAAATATGGAAGAAGATTGGTTTGAATGGGACTTTCCCTTCCACTTTTTATCGTATTACTTTAAACCATATAATTAATATTTTTTTAATTCAATAATACATTAAAAAAATATATATATTTTATGTCAATTGAGTAATACTTTTACTGGTTAATTGTCTAACTCGTTTCTCCTCCATTATCGAGAGAAGAGGACGACCACACGACGAAATAAGGGCACAAATAAAAAGAATATATTTACACGACGAGTAGAAATTAGAAAAAAGGGGGAAAGAATGAAAATGGAGGTAATAGCAAATTAAGATGAAGATGGAGATTCAAACTTGTAGAACTTATCAACAGCAACAGAAACATCCCAAGTGCAGCTAAGGCCTTTAGGAATGGTGACCAAATCACCAGCCCCGAATTCTGTATATTCAGTCTCAGCCGATCCTTTGGCATAAGCCTTCACTTTTCCCTTCACCAAGTAGCACGTCTCTTCTGCCTCGAACTTCAGCTGGTATTTCCCCGCCGAGCATCCCCACCTACACAAAAATTACTCAACCATCACCCACCCCAGCTCAGACCCAAAGGCTAAAGGCTCGAACTTACGCGAAAGCTTAAACCGATAGATTACAATATACTTACTTTGGCCAGCTCTGGATGTTGAGCAGAGAAAGCTTGGCTTGAGAAGGGTTCCTTTCTACGATGATTCTGAGGTTGTTTGTTGAAGGATTGTTACTGTTTCCTTCTTCATTGGCCATTTTTTTTTTATAGAGAAAGAACAAGAAAGAGAAGAGAAAAGGAATCTTTTGATCTTGAATGGAATATAATGAGAAAAGGAAGAAGGTTGTGGGAGATTTATAGAGAGACAAATAAGGAGGGTTTTACTTCTTTTCTTCATCTTTGGTTGTTTGTTTTGTTTTTATTATTCATCTTTCCTTATGTTTAAATTATTTCAGATTAAAATATCGATTTAGTGAGATATGTAATGAGCTAAAATAAACAATATCTACTAACAAGAAGATGAAAATATCATGGTAACATTTACCGAGATTAAATATTATTCACTGTTTATTTGGATATTGAACCTATAAATCTACAATCGGTGATTATATATTATAATTTTTTTTTTTTTTTTTGTTTAATGCTCATTTATTGTTTTGGACCTACCACACCATACTCACTCCTTAGTGCTCCTTTTTCCAGAAAAACTTAGTTAAAGAACATAAAGATAAAAGCATTTTTACTTTTTTTTTCTTTTTATTTTTTTCAACTAACTTTACACCTACCCACTAAAAAAAACCCACACACATTTTGTGTTTTTAACGGTTATATTTTGGTTTGAATGTTTGATTTATGGGTTAGGCTTTCAGTGCGTTATGTTTCAAAAAATATGTATTGCATGCCACAAGTTATATATGTATTATATTATGCTTTACAAGTTTAATTTATAAAAAGAAAAAAAAAAGTCAAATAAACAAGATATAATAGTATTCATTAAAAAAAGGACATTATCCATTTATATTATATTTAAATTCTCTTTTTAAGAATATATTTTATTTTAATTATCATTTTATAAACTACGGTTCTCTTTCAAATCTTAATTTATTGTATGACTTTTATATTAACACGTCTAATTAAATAAATAAATTAATTAATTAATCAAAATATACATCATCGTCTCACGTGTTTATAAAAACGAAATGAAACAAAGTAAATATATTATTTTGTCATATTTTAATTTATTTTTTGAAAAATAAAAAATACATGGTGGCTGTTTATATTTAGTGATTATTTATCTGATAATTATCCATTTGTTTGTCGTTGTCGGAAGCGAACGTAATTTTTGTGAAATCCTGTTTACTTGGTCAAATCGTTGACCAGATTCTTTGAGACACGTGGCGGAGTAAGAATGGAAGACCGAAATATCGAAGTTTGACCGAAGTTATTTACACACACACCGACGAGCTTTTTCTCAGGCCCTTTCCATCTGCTTCTCTAGACCAATCAGTCGATGCCATGTCATATTATGACCCAATTCTCCATCTTCGTCCCACGTGCGATCTCTCTTCATTTTCATTTTATCCTCTTTGTTATTGAATAATTTCTTATTTTGATTTAATATATTTTGAGCCAAAAAACTATCTTTTTTATTTTTAAGCATGTGGTAGTAGTTACCCAATGCTATCTAATAAAATAAATATATTTATATTTTAAAAATTGGGTGAATTTTGACTTCTACGGCTATTTCAATGTGTTCACACTTCAATTTTATAAATATTAATTGAAATTCATTTAATTTCATAATACATTATTTTTTTTTGTTTTGTTTCGAGGACATACATTGCATCTCGAAGGCAATAATGCATTGTTATTTAATATATAAACAAAATTGGTAGGACTCGGGTTAGGTTATGAGATAGTCTTTAACTTTATAAGTGACAAGTAAGTAACGTGGTTATGTCATAAAAGATGTAGAAGAATATCGAAATCATCTAGTATCAAATTCTGAACCTCTGAACATGCGCTACAATAATATTATTAGATTAAATTTGAATTATATTAATGAAATAAAATTTGATTTCATATTGAAAGCGTGATTTATGTTTAAACTAAATTTAGAAAGAATGATTATAAAAAATTGGTATAATGTATAATTCTAGAACAATGTAGAAATCCTTTTATAAAAAGGGCCCAAACGATTGGGCCTCATCAACACTTTAAGCCACTGGGCCGGCCTTTTGAGTATTGGGCTATCCGGTTGGACCTCTTTATATATATATATATATATATTTTTTTTTTTTCTTTTTTTTTTTGTATATAGAAGAAGTGAAGAATATTTAATCTCAATTAATTTAAGTAAAGTTGAGACATGACATCAATTATATCTTAAAAGGTAAGAGATTTTTAGTCCGCAAATAAAAGGGAAAAAAAGAGGAAAAAATAAAAGAAAAAAATTGTAAAGGCGCTATTATTTGAAGTATAAATAGACATTTTGGTTTGCCTCCTCCTCATCTTCTTCCTCAATTTCCTTCACTGTACTTTCAGTTCTATCCATGGCCACTCAAGGTCAAGTTATCACATGCAAAGGTACTCCCTACACACATTTCACTTCTTTTTCTGCCGTCGATTCTTTTGATTCAGCTCGATCTCTTTTGATTATTGCCAGCGGCGGTGGCCTGGGAACCCAATAAGCCATTGGTGATCGAGGATGTTCAGGTGGCTCCGCCACAAGCTGGCGAGGTCCGAGTCAAGATCCTCTACACTGCTCTTTGTCACACCGATGCTTATACTTGGAGTGGCAAGGTTGTTTTTCTCTTCTTTAATTTCTCAAATCATAATCGGTTAAATTGTCGGTCATTTTCTGGCGCGTATTGTTTCCTAATTCCGTATTGTTTTCGAGTGATTCAATGCGGGTTATTAGATTTCGTTTTTTTGATTAATCGAGTTCGTGGCTTTTAGTGCCGCTCTGTTGGGTGGTGGAAGGGAACGCATTCGTTGTTCTTTATGCATTTGTGATTGTTATGATGTGCTCAGATTAGGAACTCCAGGTTTCTGCATGCTGTGTTATGTTTGGTTATGTTAGAGTTCGGCCATTTGGACAAGGTTGGCTTTGGGTGTGCCAGCCATGCGGTCTAAGACATTTAGATAATTGAAATTCTAAATATCAAGATCCTAGCTCCAAGGTTGGATGGCCTTCGAGATTTAAGGTTTCCACTTGAGATGTCTTCTTTATGGCGTATTGTCTAATGACGGCCGTTGTAATTGTTCTTCCTATTCCTGGCTTGATATTATTTGTGATGGGCTGTTTTTGTATTTTCCTTCGTTTGGTTGAAAACCGGTTCTCTTTAAAAAATTGAAGATCAAATAGTTTGTGTAAAACTTGTTTCTCAATTTTTAGTCATGTATAACTGCCAATTGATTCTATGGTTTAATTGGCAGTTCGTTGTCTTTCACAAACCTTGCTACTTTTGGGGCGTGCTATTCCAAATGGTGGAGTGTCTAGAATTAGGGATCAAGGAAATATGGTAAAATAGTGCTATTAATTTACAACTAAAAGTCAATCACTTTGATAACCAAGATGTCTTTTATTTATTTTGGATAAGTAACAATTTCATGGATGGAATGAAATACAAAAGAGGGGAGGACAACCAAGCCCCAAACACTTCGATAGCTAAAATGTAATTAGTTCATTATCTATCCAGTTCACGTGGCACCTCCCTTACATGTGAAATATTTTGCAAGTTTTTTTGCATACTGAAAGTAGTGTTGTGAAGAACATTCGAGCTTCAATCCTGTAAATAAAACAAGAGCTTTTGGCTATGGAATAAATGTTACAACCAAGAGCTTGCCCCTAAAATGCATCGAGGACCTACATGTTCTGTGTGATTAATTATTTGCATATTTCTCTTTTCAACGTTGTGCTTTGTTATTATCATCATTATTATTATTTTATTTCCTGCACAAGTAAAAACTCGAGTCTCTCAATATCAAATTCTGAGGTCTGATTTTCATCTCTTTTCAGGACCCTGAAGGTCTCTTCCCCTGTATTCTAGGTCATGAGGCTGCAGGGTATATAACTTTCTTTTTGAAGTCGGATGCCAGATATTCTTGTTTTTATTATATATTTATTTCATTGCTTAAGCGGCAATATAAAACCCATGGGCAGGATTGTAGAGAGTGTTGGTGAAGGTGTGACTGAAGTTCAGCCTGGAGATCATGTCATTCCTTGCTACCAAGCAGAATGTCGAGAATGCAAGTTTTGCAAATCGGGGAAAACTAACCTTTGTGGCAAAGTTCGTGCTGCCACGGGGGTGGGAGTAATGATGTCAGATCGTCAGAGTCGTTTCTCTATAAATGGAAAACCTATATATCACTTCATGGGCACGTCAACATTTAGTCAATACACTGTTGTTCACGATGTTAGTGTTGCAAAGATTGACCCCGCGGCTCCTTTGGATAAAGTATGCCTTCTTGGATGTGGTGTTCCCACAGGTAGTGATATGTTAAACTTGCATCAATATCTATTGCTTTTGTAGTTGGGCAATTTCTACACCTTTAAATACAAGAGCAAAACGCCCCGAAAAGAAAAAGAATAACTATGATCCCACCAATGAAAGTGGGTACTAACAAGTCAATAAACTTGAAAGACGAAGAAAAGACCTTCTATGGGTTACGATAGGTGCCAAACAAAACTATATTAGCATTCAATCAATTAGCATGAGGTCAGGATGCCGAAGGCTCTCAACGAACATGTCACAACTCAACCACTAGGAAAGAAGGAAAAAATTCTGGCATACCAAATTACAGTCCCGACTCCCCCTCCGTAATCACTGCAGACTTTGAGCTGACTAGCATCATTATCCTGTTTCATCTGTGAAAAAATTCGGAACAGAAAGGAAAATTTTAGATAAAGAGATTTATTTGTTTGTTGAAGTTTAACTGTCAAATGTGTTTTCTATCCAAGGGGAGACAATGCAGCTGACGTTCAATTTGCCTTTTGTTTTTCTGATCCATTCGTTTCTTTTGAACGAATCTCTTCATGTAAAATAATATCTATTCAGAATTCATTAAAAGCTGTTGCTTATGGTATTTTCAGGTCTTGGAGCTGTTTGGAACACAGCAAAAGTAGAGCCAGGGTCCAATGTTGCTATTTTTGGCCTGGGGACTGTAGGCCTCGCTGTAAGCTTCATATCAGACCTTACCGTTCTTTGACTGCCCCTTCTTTCCTCTAAATCAATCTCATCTTGATTCTAATTTAGCAAGGAGTTCTTCAAAAATTGATGTTTGTCAATGTTTTAGAAGAATTTTGAGGTGTAAATGAGCTGCTCCAAAATG